TACAAAGTTTTTGTTTCAATTGTCATGACGGTACAGAATAAATCTCAGAAGTTGTGTACAGTACGAGGCAGACCGAATGCTTAGTGGAGGGTGAGAGACATTATAGACACATCTTTACAGTCTTTTACCCTTTTCATAAAATAAAACTCTAGCAGACATAATAATATTATGACTTTTGATATTAGGAATTGCAATGCTAATTCATAACAAAGACGATATCGAATTCGTCACTGAATTCCCATGTTTTTTGGGACACCCTGTATACATGACACAGTAGCATATCTGTATGGTTTAAATGCATAGAGAATAGAATATATAGAGAGGAATTAAAAGAATCTCTCGGTATGAATTTTTTCAGTCCCTTTCAGCCTGAAAGGGAGTTCAAAGTGTACAAATCATGTAAATGTTCACAAATTATATGCAGTAGAGTACATTAATACAGTATATTCCCTAGACTATCCATTTCAATTTCGAATTTTTTAAACTGTTAAGTAAACTTTATAATGAATTAGGTGAATAAAAACATCATTTGATTATAGTTATAACGGAAAATCATAGTTTGTAAAGTGGAAGGCATAGAGTCTATGTGAAATGATCATTGGTCAATTATGAAACCAGCCTATTTCATAATTTGGTTTTCTTTTAACAATAATTTTAGATTTTCTATAAAATGATATTCCAGGGCCCAACAGGTTATATAGCATAAATATGTGAAGTACACCTGCAGTATGGAAACAGTACAACAAAATGGCCGTTTTACTCTTTTTTCTAGTAAATTCCTCTCTATATATTCTATGTTTAAATGTTACACATTTATTCCTTGTAATTACAACTTGTGTGAAAATGTAACTGCGCAGTAAAATTGAGTATATGCCTTAAAGTTTCTCTGTAATTACTAATTCGCTAGACTTGAAGCATGTTAGATACTAAATCTTAATTATCTTGTTTGATGAAATTCAAAGTTTGAAATATGATTTGGTCTTTGACAATTACCACAATATTATCATGATTTGTAATTGATTCAATTACAATTAATTAATCTCAAATAAACTAAAGAAATATAAAATAATTGAGCAAAATGCATTCTCGTATAATTAAACAAATAAAAAGCGGAGAATCTATTAGATTTTATACTTGACTGTAGTGGTCCCTAGTGGAATTTTTTCTAACTAGATAAGCAATTGCTGAATGTGCACTGGGTCAGCTGTTTATTTCTGGTTTTCGTGGATTTTAAAGAAATTTTTTTCGCGCAGTCCTGACTGAAACAATTTACACATCGAATCTTATATATATATAAATTGTTGTAATCTCTGTTTGTCTGTTTGTTTGTTAGTCAGATCAAAACTCAGGAACTCCTGGAATGATTTGCCTCAAATTTTGTTTGGGGAACTCGGGAGATCAACCGAAATGTTCTTAGCTTGGTTTTGAGATTTTAAGTTGAGTGGGTCGACTTAAAAAGTTAAAATTCAGATTCCTAGTAACTCGTTCAAGTACGGATATAAACGGCGGGAGTAATTTTTAGTAATCTGGGCAGCGCTGGGTTCCCAAGATAGTGTCGAGTAAGTAGCTTAGGGGCGGTACAGTGGCAAGTGCCCCCTCTCTACACCCGAAGGGGGGCACAGGAGGGGCACACTTTCTTAAACAAAAATAGAAGAAAATGAAAAAATGAAAAGAAGGAAACGGAAAATGAAAGAAAGAAAGAAGAAAGAGGAGAAAATTGGCATGAAATCTAATTTTTTAAAAATTGTGTAAAGGATTTTTTTCTTCAAATTAAAGAAAAATTGAGTGCTTTCTGAAATAAATTATTTGGGAATTTTGAATATTTTTATGTATTTTGGAAAGCTTTCCCTTTTTCCATCTTTTCATAGATGAATGCTTCTAATGAACCATCTTACAATTATGGAGACAAATTTAAATCATATACAAATACAAAATATGGTCAGGTTAGGAGAAGCTGTTTGTACTTAGCAATTGGCAATAGCTAGATTCGTTTTACAGAAACTTAAAAAAAGGCCTGGCTATTGGTTTAACAATTTAAGTTTCATTGATAAAAATTTCTCAGATTTTCCTGTTTTTAAGTGAACTCTCATAACTCTTAAAATAATTAAAACTATATTGGGGGGGGGGGGGGGGTGTGCTTTTTTGCTTCTGAAAAACCAAAATTCCCCCCCCCCCGGAATCTCTTTTATAAACTCTTTTGGATGCTAGACAAAAATATAAATAAAACTGTTTAAAAACCATCACGAATATTACTATTTTTTCAAATTTAATCAGGAAGCCAAGCTGAAGATCAGAGAGTTAATAATTGAAGGAATAGAAGATGCTATCTGGGACGCTGATAAAAAACAGGTTTAAGTTGATAAAAAGAACTGGTTTAAGTTTATAAATAAAACAGGTTTAAGTTTATAAAAAACAGGTTTAACTTTATAAAAAACAGGTTTAAGTTTATAAAAAACAGGTTTAAGTTTATAAAAAACAGGTTTAAGTTTATAAAAAACAGGTTTAAGTTTATAAAAAAACAGGTTTAAGTTTATAAAAAAAAAGGTTTAAGTTTATAAAAAACAGGTTTAAGTTTTATAAAAAACAGGTTTAAGTTTATAAAAAACAGGTTTAACTTTATAAAAAACAGGTTTAAGTTTATAAAAAACAGGTTTAACTTTATTAAAACAGGTTTAAGTTTATAAAAAACAGGTTTAACTTTATAAAAAACAGGTTTAAGTTTATAAAAAACAGGTTTAACTTTATTAAAACAGGTTTATGTTTATTAAAAAAATCAAAATAATCCCCGATATGTAACAATAATGTTAAAATATCGGCGTTTTTTAATCTCGATTTGTTGTCAAATTATTTTTGAAAAAACAAGAATGTCTCCATCCTTTATGCTCATAAAAATATTTAAAGGGCACTACCGCTGAGAATCGAGCAGCAACTCTTTAAATATATTGACAGTCCCTTTAAATTATTAAATTTATATAATTTAATAATTTGAATTTTTTTAGAGTATCGGTATTCTTGTTCTAGTTTCAGTCATCATAATTTCCCCTTTCATCATTGCACTCTCCAGGTTAGATAATAGATTTCCCCTTTCATCATTGCACTCTCCAGGTTAGATAATAGATTTCCCCTTTCATCATTGCACTCTCCAAGTTAGATAATAGATTTAAATTCATTGTCAAGTAAAACTATATATTTATAGTCTGTAGATTGCAACTTTGTTAAAGAGAGTGGCTAGCTAGTTAACTGAGAGTACATTATTTCTGGGATTTATTTTATTTACCTATACACGTTTTTATGGTGTACAATTGCTTATAAAGAGCACAAAGTCGCTCTTCAAAAATCACGAGGATGGTCCATTTTGGAGGCTTATTCTCAAGTATCGATGTTCTGCAATTTTTTTATAACGTAACAATAATTCTTTTATAAACTAATTTGTTCTATACCTAACCATGTCTCTCTCTTTAAGAAATGTCATTTCATATATGGTCTAATGGTCTGTTTTTTGCTTTCTTTTCCCTCAATTAGAATTCTACGTACCCCAAAAACTAATTTGTTCTATACCTAACCATGTCTCTCTCTTTAAGAAATTCCATTTCATATATGGTCTAATGGTCTGTTTTTTGTTTCTTTTCCCTCGATTAGAATTCTATGGACCCCAAAAATTAAACTTTTGTTCCAATTTATAACAAAAAAAAAATAAGAAAAACAAGCAAGGGATAAAAACAGTGGAAATTATGAAATGTTTGGATATTTAGTTTGCAACTGGAATAATTCTTAAACATTTTTCCTTAACTTTTTTGTATACAGTACAGAAAATAAACAAAACACGAATGGGAGGAACAAAATATTTTAACTTTTTTTCATTTAAATTATTTAATATATTTTTTTCAGAAATGCAATTAATAGTGTTGAAATTTTTGCCAAGAGTATGAGAAAAAAGGTAATTGGCTTTTTTCCAATTTTTTAAAACTTTACGGTTTTTTTATCTGAAAATTTTTTTATTTAGGCCGACGAGTTAAGATCGCAAAGACAAAAAACTGATAAACTTCTTTATAAAATGCTTCCAACAGTTGTGGCTGATGGGCTCAAGTAAGTTTTTAAAAATAAAAAAGTGTGTTTTTGTAGTAAAAATGTCTCTTATGTAAAAATATATTTTCATATGTCCAAAAAAAAAAATGCATTTTTATTAAAAAAATATATATGTATTAATAAAAGAATATTTTATAATAAAATGAATATTATTGTGTATTTATAGGTCGGGAGAGAATACAACTCACGTATTTAAATCTGCTTCACTTGCGTTTATCAAAATAGATGCTTTCTCAGACTTTTTCAAGGAAATATCATAACATTGAATTCATTAAATTTTGTTTATTATATTTGTTTAAAATACAATATTAGTTTTCAAGTTCTTATTTCAAATGAAGATTAAAAAAAGCATCTGTTCAATGTACACAGACCCATTTCACTTAAAAAGTTTTTTTAAAAACTATATGCGAAAATTAAAATTGTTGAAATGTCGTCTTCCGATTCTGCCGAATATAAGAATAACATGAGGAATTCGTCCAATTTCCCTTTCATTCCAAAAGGGGGGGGGAATAAATATTGGATATTTTTACATTACATGGGTCTTACTTATTACAACTTAAAAATTCTTTGTGAAATTTCATGGTATTAAAATAAATAAGACAGCTTAAATTCTTCATAGTTTTTGATTTGTTAACTCGAAAGCTTTTAAATAAAAAACCTCGGTCATTACAATGATAATTTATATTACGATGGTAGGTGACTACACCAATACAATGAAGACGACTTTCGATTTCAATTTTAATTAAATGTTATTATGGTTTCCTTTTAGATGCACAACCCTATAGAGGTGATCCACATCTTGAACATCATCTACAACGCCTTCGACACCAGACTGGACAGGTTCGACGCGTACAAGGTGGAGACCATTAACGACAGCTACCTCGTGGCATCAGGACTTCCAGAGGAGAACGAGACGCATGCCAGGTTTACAATATACAAAAATCCCTCAAATAATTTTTTCAGAGCAGGTTTTAGCTTTTTTCATTTCGTTCATTCATTGTTCGTGAACGATACATTTCGTCCGTTTTTTTCTATCGTAAAATTCGTTTAATCTCAAAATATCGTTCGTTTTCTCAGTGAACAATGGTTCAGAAAATCGTTCGTTTAATAAAATAGTTTGTTCAGTAAAAAAAACTATTGTTTTTTTCAAGTTCGTTCGAAAAGTTCGTTTTTATCATTTTCTGAATGATCCAATTCGTTTTTTTATTGTTCGTTTTTTTCTGAACGACACCATAATTCACAAAAAAAATTTGTTCGTTTTTAAAAATTTTGTTCGTTTTTAAAATTTTGTTCGTTAAAAAACGATTTCCATCTCTATTACTAGAACTAGACACTATGATATAAATTTCATTATGATCATGTAAAAAAAGTGTTTAGTTTTTTTCTTTAAGCAGTGTCCTATTTACCCCTGATAAGTGACCCTAAAAACTAGGCATTCGAACCAGCACAACAAAAGATACTAAATTACTTTTCAAAATTTCTTGTAAAATGAATAGAAATAATTAAGGGTTCAATTTGAAATTAGATTCTTTTTAGAGAAATCTCTGCTCTGTGCTTGGATATTTCTGAAACCTGTTTCTCTCTGGTTATTCCTAATTCAACCCTAAACGTCAGGTACAGGGTGTCCCACGAAACAAGTTGGTAAATAGTTTTAGGCTAAAAAACCAAAATCCCGTTCTTTTGGGTCACCCAATATGAAAACAAAAAAATCACTTTTAAACCTTGTACTTTTAATTAAATATGAACATGTATACAATTATGGCGCAAAATTAATCCCAATGTGGGAAATGGCCGGGCCGGTTCCAACTTACCAAAGAGTCCCCTGACTATTTTGTAAATTGGAGTGTATTATTGTTTTTTTTTTCACCAGTTTGATATTTTTATATTTATTTATATTTGCAGAGTTAGTTGTGGAATACATTCTGGCCGTGTTGTCGCTGGAGTTGTTGGAAGCAAAATGCCAAGGTTAAAATAAAAAAAAAATAAAAAAAAATTTTAAACGAAATATTTTTTCAGGTACTGCTTGTTCGGGGATACTGTGAATACTGCGTCTAGGATGCAATCTTCAGGTCAAACAAAGGAATTGAGGCTTTGCAACAAACTCTGGTTTTCTAATCCATATATTTTTGCAACCCAATGCTATGCAATGCAATGCAATATCACAATCTAAGTTTGAAATATCAAAGTTTTACCATCAGGTTGCCAAGATATAGCGATGAGAAAATATAAGTTTGTGACAAAGTTTATCTTGTATATTATAAAATCCACTGGTAGGATTCAGTTAATCTTGTATCTTATAGGATCCCCTGGTAGGATTCAGTTAATCTTGTAAATTATAGAATCCACTGGTAGGATTCAGTTAATCTTGTATTTAATAGGATCCCCTGGTAGGATTCAGTTAATCTTGTATTTTATAGGATCCCCTGGTAGGATTCAGTTAATCTTGTATTTTATAGGATCCCCTGGTAGGATTAAGTTAATCTTGTATTTTATAGGATCCCCTGGTAGGATTAAGTTAATCATGTATTTTATAGGATCCCCTGGTAGGATTCAGTTAATCATGTATTTTATAGGATCCCCTGGTAGGATTCAGTTAATCTTGTATTTTATAGGATCCCTTGGTAGGATTCAGTTAATCTTGCATTTTATAGGATCCCCTGGTAGGATCCACATTATCTTATATTTTATAGGATCCCCTGTTAGGATTCAGTTAATCTGGTATTTTATAGGATCCCCTGGTAGGATTCAGTTAATCTTATATTTTATAGGATTCCCTGGTAGGATTCAGTTAATCTTGTATTTTATAGGATCCCCTGGTAGGATTCAGTTAATCTTGTATTTTATAGGATCCCCTGGTAGGATTCAGTTAACTGCGGATACTAAATACCTCCTGGATCTTCTAGGAGAAGAGTTTCAGTGTGAATCCAGGTAAGGATTCATATCCCTACCTAGGATCAAAGATAGATGTTCCAATAAACATGGAAATTAAATTATTTCGTAAAAATGATTTTCCAGTATTACAGTTAAAACATTTAACACCGAAAACTACTAATCTCGGGATTTCCAAAATGGGCTCTACAATTTTTTACCTTCAAAATTGATAATAGAAAATTTGTCCCGATTCCAAAAAATCAACAAAACTATTGAAATGTTTAATATCTGCGTCAATTGTAAAGATACAAAGAAGGTAGGCCACATTTATTAAAGCTCATTTAGGCGTTTACTATTTTTTTAATGCACTTATGTCATTTACTGAAACAAGGGTGAAACGACATTAGGGAAAAACGTAGCCATGGGTAAAAAAATACCGTTGGGTCAAGAAAATCGGATTGTTTCACTTACGAGGGTGCTAGAGCGTCGGGAAACCCGTCGGTCGCAGGGTGCAATTTAAACAAAATATTTATACAGGGTTACCCGCTATGGATGACACTACAGACTGACTTGCTTAAACTTTAATACCAAATTTACTTACTTAAACATCTTAAACTTTAATACCAAACTTACTTACTTAAACTTTAATACCAAACTTACTTACTTTCACTTTAATACCAAACTTACTTACTTAAACTTTAATACCAAATTTACTTACTTAAACTTACTTAAACTTTAATACCAAATTTACTTACTTAAACTTTAATACCAAACTTACTTACTTAAACTTACTTAAACTTTAATACCAAACTTAACATTCTAATCTCTATATTTAAAGAAATTTAAAATCTAGGTCTTCATCATCGTCGGGTTTGTTTCGGGTAACCCTGTATATTAAACAAATCACACATAGATTGAAGTTTATTACGTTATTTTCCCCGTTTGTCATTAGGTGAACTAAACAAAACCTACAGCCATCCGTCATAACCAGAATAGGAAGACGACATTATAGAATTTCTGAAGTGCATTTGATGTTGTTTAAAGCAAATAGCATTACTTGAAAGTTATTAAATGATTTATAAAGTAAAATGGGTCTGTTTACATTGCACAATTGCTGTGCTGCATGTTCAATGCGCTATTAAAAATCATAAGTTAAGTTTAAAAGTCAATTTCCTATTCCAGAGTTTTCTGGTTATCCCTGTATGACCATGCAAACATTTAGTCTCCAACATGTTGATGTCGAACATGAAAGTCTAGAATTATTTACGCAACATCTTCGCCATTGGAATTATAAGTCGGTTTAAATGTTTCCTGGGTTGTAAAAAATTAGTCCAATTATTAAAAAATGAAAATTGTTATTCTGAATCTTGTGTTTAGGGGTACTATAGAGGTAAAGGGGAAAGGGCCAATGGAAACCTTCTGGCTAAATTCACAGAGCAAAGAACACTTCTAAATCCCAAGTCACTCCACCTTAGACTGAACTCGGTTTAAGTTTAATTCAGTATTTGTAGTTGTCGTCGGACATTTCTCATTTGTAAAATTTATTTATTTGTGGCAATTATATACTTAGTTTTCGAGTTCAAATTGGTTTCTAAACATTTGAACAAATTATGAAGAAATTACGTAAATCATGTTTAGATATTTTAGATTTTTCATTTAAAATTATTTATTAAGGTTTGAAATATACTGATAACCAGAAAACTCTAAAATAGAACGACGACATTGAGAAAGAAGTTATAACTTTGAAAAGTCCAATGAGCATGCGACACATAAATTGTGGATTTTAAATATACTCATTAGTGATTTTAGAAGTTTCTTTAGTAAAACGAATTGCTTTGTAACAGCATTAAACAAACTTAAGTATTGCTTCAATGTCGTCTTCCTCTTCCATTGTTTTCTTGTTATCACTGTATTCTACATATGAAATTTTTATGCATTAAAAACCTGCAGGTTGGATCTCAAAAGAATGTGTTTTGAAAAAAAATACTAACAACTAGAGCTGAGCAAGATTTCGGTATGGAATAACAGTTTACTTGCATTAAAACGCAAATAAAAAATGTTTTTTTTTGATATTGTGAATTTGTGTTTTATAGTCTGCATAACTAACTTGTAAAATTTTAGAATTTAAACCTAAAGACTGTTTAAAGTTTTATAGATGACACTAATTATTGTTTTAAATTGTTAATGTTATATACATGTAAAAATGTAAAATAAAATGTAATAAACCATTTCGCTTTTAAAAATCAATTAAAAAGTATAGATGATTTAACCATGAGTGTAAAATTCAAATGTTTGTTTAGATATAAAACTTTATGTTATATACATGTACAGTGAAACCCTTAATAACGAATACATCGGAAGAATTTATTAAATGTCGTCTTGACAATTTTAAATGAGTTTTATACTATATTTCGTAAATTTCAGTATTTGCGAAAATAAATAAATAGCCATGAATATGCGGGAACAGTTTTGAAGAGTTCCATATAATCATTTAATTAAAAAACTAAATATCTGCAACATTCCATTATCAGAAAGTGAAGAATACGACATTTGATGAATTCTTTTGATGTATGATCGTTATTAAGGGTTTCACTGTACAAATGTAGAATTTAATGTAATAAACAATTCTGCTTCTAAAAATCAATTAAAAAGTATTGATTATTTACCTATGTTATTGTTCCAAAAAGCTTTTAATCTATTCAGAGCTGAACACTTTAGAATGGGATATCCTTAATTCCGATCGGTTAATTAATCTGGAGATTAATAACAAGAGGAGAACAAGCATTATTTAATCTGGGGATTAAGAAAAAAAGTGGATCAAGCATTAATCCCGATATACACCATTCAAAAGTTCCCAGCTCTGGTTCAATTTGAAGTTATCCGACTTTTAGTTTATCAATTTATCTATAAATATACTTTGTTTGTTTGTTTGTGTCTAATAAACGCCAAAACAGCTAAACTGATACGGCTCAACTTTATTGTGGCAACCAAAGTGATCCCTAGGAAGGTTTATGGATGGTAAGAATGTAAAAAACAAAGTCCGAATTTAATGAATTAAAGCCGCGGCGTCTCAAATCTGCCAAAAACCGGTTTCAATTGGGCGCCGTCTTAGATCTTGAAACATTAAATACAATTTTAAGTGGAACCAACCATTTTTGAGCCACAACTAAAATTACTTAAATTCGGCCTCAGGCTTCTTATTTTTGAATTAAACATTTTCTCTTTGTATTGTAAAATAAAAACAAAAAAGTTCGCGGATTTTATAAAAAAAAATCGTGGATTTTCAAAATTTAATGAAAATAGAATTTTGCTGTTGGAGGCAAATTATTGAAATTTTGATCATCCCTAAACCTTCCCTGGGGTCATGCGAGGTCCCACACAAAATTGGGGCCCAATCGATTCAGCCGTTTTGACGTTTATTGGATACAAACAGACACTAAGACAGATAAGCAAAGCATAAATAAACTAGGCCTAAAGATATTTAATTAAAAGTTTAAAAAATCGTGGATTTTCAAATTTAATCAAAATCGAATTTTGTTGGAGGCTAATTTTTGAAATATTTTGAAAATCCACGGTATTTTTTATAAAATCCGGGAACTTTTTTTGTTTTATTTTACAATTTTACAAAGAGAAAATGTTTAATTCAAATATAAGAAGCCTGAGGCCGAATTTAAATAATTTGAGCTGCGACTTAGATATTTCAACTTTTAATTGTTGCTTTATCTGTGTTCTCTTCTCTTTGTACATTGTAAATAAGAAACATTAAAAAGGTTGCAGATTTCATAATATTTTTTCGCGCATTTTCAAATTTTTACAAAAAAAATCTTTAAGCACAAATTTTTGAAATTTTTATCATTCATAAACTTTCCCATATCACCAATTAGTGATAGTGTGAGTATTTTCGACGATGAACTAAACAACGTTTAAAATTTTAGATCTAATATTGAAAAAATGAAATAGGGTTTAAAGGTTGTAAAATACCTGTTTTTACACAAACCGGGCATTTTAACTCGCGCCGATTTTTGACATCCTTTTCATTGCAAAATCGTCTTTGCTTTTTCAATTCTTTTGAAAATATAGGCTATAGAATGTGTTATATTTAAAACATTGGTTCTGTTTATAAAAAACTCTTCAAATATATCTATTTCATAAAATTCTCGACAAGATTAAAAGTTGAACGTTTAGATATTTATTTTCATACCATATTTTGGGAAAGTTGATCAGAAGACATGTGAAGTAAAATATCGCGTTTAGTGAAACGTACGGTACATAGAAGAAGACATTTGAAGTATAATATCATGTTTAGTGAAACGTACTTAAAATAAATGAGACAAAAAGCGTGTTATCGTCTACTTTGAACTCCCTTTCAGGCTGAAAGGGACTGAAAAAATTCATACCTAGAGATTCTTTTAATTCCTCTCTATATATTCTATTCTGTATACATTTGAAGTATAATATTGAAAACAATATAATGTTAAGTGGCACGAGCGGGGGAAGGCAGGCGGCCATGAGCCACCACTATTTCCCTTCCGTGCCACATATTAGCTTTTTCTCTTCCGGCAGCCATGAGCCACAACTATTTCCCCTTCCGTACCACCACATTTGACTCTTTCGGGCAAAACTGCTATTTTAATTGGTATATTTAGGGCCTTTAAAGTGTGATTTTAAAAAATCCAGCCACGTCACGCAAAAAATCACAATTCAAACCATTTTTTCAATTCTATACTTAAGAATAATATTTCGCGTATTAAATTCTTAAACTGTTTTACAATGAAATTTTTGACAAATTTGACTGAGTATTGCATCTTGAAATATCACAAAATTCCTCATTAACCAATAATCATTAGACTTTGTGACATTTCAAGATGCAATACTCAGTCAAATTTGTCAAATATTTCATTGTAAAACAGTTTAAGAATTCAACACACAAAATATTAATCTTATGTAGAAATGGCTGGATTTTTAAAATCACACTTTAAAGGCCCTAAGTATACAATTTAAATAAGTAGTTTTGTCCGGAAGAGTCAAATGTGGTTTTACGGAAGGGGTAATAGTGGTTGCTCATGGCTGCCGGAAGAGGAAAAAGCTGATATGTGGCACGGAAGGGGAAATAGTGGTGGCTCATGACCGCCTGCCTTCCCCCGCTCGTGGGACTCGCGGTATGAAATAATAAAACCTAGCTTTGTAGGCATAAACAGCTGTCTTTTGGTTATAGAAATAGCCTGCAGGAGGAAGCCAATGAAAAGGGGGGGCCNAGATGTGGGGGAAGAGGGGTGGGGAAATTATCACGCAAAGAGATTCCAGTTACCCGGCATGATGCAATATCAACCAATTCTATCCAAGACAATTCTTAAGAAAAGAAAGCATTATTTGCTTTCTCCGTTTCTCTTCTATTTCATGGTTGACAATAATTGTAATATCTATTTTAAACTTTTTGTGAAATATTGTTCAATTATTTGTTTGCACCCCCCCATGACCCCGCCATTTTAAACATATGGATGTAAAAGACCGGTCCCATGAGCTGTTTTAAAATTACGCTTTGATCTGTCACCCCTCCGCTCCCCCTCCCCTGCTTTCTTTCTAGTATACTCCGATCCAGGGTTCACACCTCGGTATAATGGTGGCAGTTTTTTTTCTTCAAAAAAGTGAAAAGCATCCAATAATTTGGAAAAGCAATGGCATACTTCGGGTAAAAAAACTGCATAAAACAGCATAAATTTGAAATTTTAAGAAAACAGCGTAATACGGCATAATTTGAAAGCTGGAACAGCATCTGAGCTCAAAAAATGAGTGGCAACCCTGCTCCGATTCATTCCCTACAGAATATAGTACTACAAGTTTACAACACTTACACGCTTACACTTTTCAGTGATACACGCAACAGCTGGTTAAGAATTTTGTACATTAATGTTGTAAGTATAGTACATGATCGAGTGGCATATTATTACATTAAAACATATTCAAAGTAGAATATATGAAAATAATTTTTCAAAGGTATCAACTTCAAACACATTTATGATTTTTGTCGTGTAATAATTATAAATTAAGCAAGAACCATATTTATTCCCCCCACCCCCTTTACTGTCCACTTTTAATGCTGTAAAAACCGTAAAAAAGGATAAAAATTTTGCACAATATATATTCTTTTTCTTATTTTAATCAAATTCCATGGCATAGAAAAAAAGTAATTTCATATGTTAAATATAAAAGTAAAAGCATAAAAAATAATATAATTAATGATTATCTGTAGTCTAATATAAAAAAGAGCAAATTGCAAAGAATTAAAATGAATTGTATTTCTATTGTAACATTACACAAAAAGTGAAAGTTAATAATGAATAATCCGTAAGTTTGTTTAGTTAAAATTTTGTTGTTTTAAAATTTTGATGGTAAAATTCTAAAAGTTTCTGTGAAAATGTTAAACATTTCCTGATTTTTTAAACTCCATTTATTTGAATTATTTAAATGTGTTTAAGATAATTAGAATTGATCATGTGTTCATTTTTCTAAGGCATGTGTATATCATTTAAACATTGTTTAACATAAAAACATGGTAAGAAATCATTTTTTTTATGGCGAGGGGGGGGGGACACAAAGCTAGAGGGTGGGGGAGCTTCCTATCTTCCCCCACCAGGAAAAAGTTTAAAATATGCCCTAGTTTATTTTTGGCAGCTGTTTGTAATTCTTGTTTTTTATGAAATTGTTTAAATGTTTTGCAGTAGGGGATTGTTAGCTATTCAGAGGGGAGCCATAATAATAGAAAACAGGAATTTCTACGTAAAAAATAGACCCTCCAACTCCTGTATGCCGAGTCCATTAGCGCCTGAACCAATCAGGGTTCAGCCATGTGTTTGGTGTCTATTCTGAACCAATAGAAATTGCATGACGGTAACATCTATCTTTCTATCATTCGCATCATTCAATTATAGAGATAAATCCTTATATCGGCGCTATGATGCAGTAAATGGAAATATTTACTTGCACATTGGTACCATTGAAAGCTTTGTCTAATCAAGCACGAATGAGATATCTATGTTTTTGATTTTGAAAACGAATATTTTTCTGTTTTCAATTCGTGTCTCTCTTTTAACTAAAGGGAGTTGCGCATTTCTAGTGTAGGAAATTATATTGGAATT